CATTCATAATTTTATTAATTTGGGTCTTCTCTTTTCTTTTGGATAAGTCTGGCCAGAGGCTTATTGATCTTACTAATTCTTTCAAAGAACCTGCTACTAGTTCCGTTGATCTGCTCTACTGTTTTTCTGGTTTCTATTTCATTGATTACTGCTTTATTCTTTATTATTTCTCTTCTCCTGCTTGGCTTAGGGTTTTTTTGTTTTTGTTTTTGTTTTTGCTGTTCTTTCTCCAGTTACTGTAGGTGTAAGGTTAACTTGTACATTCGGGATTTTTCTACTTTTTTGAGTGAAGCTTGGATGGCTATGTATTTCCCCCTTAGGACTGCCTTTGCAGTCTCCCATTGGTTTTGGACCAGTGTGTTTTCATTCTCATTGGTTTCCATGAATTGTCTAAGTTCTTCTTTAATTTCCTGGTTGACCCAAACATTCTTGAATTCCGTCCAATTTTTTTCTTGTGATTGAGTTCCAGTTTCACAGCAGTGTGGTCTGAAAGTATGCAGGGAATAATCTCAATCTTTTGGTATCAGTTGAGACCTGACTTGTGACCCAGTATGTGGGTCTGGAGAAAGTTCTGTGCGCATTCGAGATGAATGAGTATTCTGTTGTTTTAGGGTGGAATGTTCTGTATATATCTATGAATTCCATCTGGTCCAATGTGTCATTCAGACCTCGTTTCTTTGTTGATCTTCTGCTTAGATGATCTGTCCATTGCTGAGAGTGGAGTGTTGAGGTCTCCTACTATTAAAGTATTATCAACAATATGATTCTTTATTTTGGTTAACAGTTGGCTTATGTAGTTGGCTGCTCCCATGTTGGGGGCATAGATATTTACAATTGTTCTATCTTCTTGTTGGATAAACCCTTTAAGTATGATATAGTGTCCCTTTACATCTCTTACTACAGTCTTTAGCTTATAATTTAATTTGTCTGATATGAGAATTGCTACTCCAGCTTTCTGAGGTCTGTTGGCATGAAAAGTGGTTCTCCATCCCCTCACTTTCCATCTGGTGGTATCTTTAGGTTCAAAATGAGTGTCTTGTAGACAGCATATGGATGGGTCATGTATTTTATCCAATCTACAACCCAGTGCCATTTCATGGGAGCATTTAGGCCATTCACATTGAGAGTGCCTATTGAAAGATGATTTTAGTGCCATCATTTTGCCTGTGAAGTCCCTGTTTCCATAGAATGTCTCTGTAAATTTCTGGTCTATATTATTTTTGGTATCTTTCTTCATTTATAGAACCCCCCTTAATATTTCTTACAGGGCTGGATTGGTGGTCACATATTCTTTCAGTTTCTGCTGCTCCTGGAAGCTCCTTGTCTCCCCAACCATCCTGAGTGATAGCCTTGCTGGATAAAGTATCCTTGGCTGCATGTTCTCATTTAGTACCCTATGTCTTGCCAGCCCTTCCTGGCTTTCCAGGTCTCTGTGGAGAGGTCTGACATTATTCTGATGTTCTTCCCTCCATATATAAGAAATCTCTTCCCCCTAGCTGCTCTCAGGATAGCTTCCTTGGCTCTAAGATTTGCAAATTTTACTATTATATGCCGGGGCACTGGTCTGTTCTTATTGATCTCGGGAGGGGTCCTCTGCCTCTTGGACATGAATGCTTGTTTCCTTCCCCAGGTATGGAAGTTCTCAGCTATGATTTGCTCAAATATACCTTCTAGTCCTCTCTCTCTCTCTCTCTACCCCCTCAGGGATCCCAATAATTCTGACATTGGAACATTTCATGGCATCATTGATCTTTCTAAGTCTGTTCTCATGGGCGTCTAGTTGTTTATCCCAGGCCAACTTGGCTTCCTTCCTTTCTATCATCTTATTTTCTAGCTCACTAATTCATTCTTCTGCCTCATTTACCTTGGCTGTCAGGGTATCCAGTTTAGACTGTATCTCATTCATAGCAGTTTTAAGTTTGGCCTGATTCAATCTCATTTTGGCCCTTAGAGATTCTATATTTTGGTGCTAATATTTTTCTCAAGCCTAGATATCGACTTCCTAATTGCTACTCTGAAGTCTATCTCTGACATCTTGCTTATATTCGTATCCAGTAGGTCTACGGAAGAGGCCATAGTCTCTGATTCTTTTCTTTCTTGTGGGCTCCTTCTCCTAGTCATTCTGTTGAGCGGTGGTTGAGGGAATGTACAGAATCCAAAGTATTAACCATGACCCAAGCAAAATGCACCCGTTTTATGGGGACCCTCGGGTTGTCATCCTCTTGTTCTTCCAGCCTGTCTTCTGGGGGAGGGACCTGCCACCCTGTTACTCAGACAATCCTGCTTGGGCAGAGATGCCCTGCCCCTGTCCAGGGGGTGGGCTCAGTGGAAAACAGTTTTTTGAGCTTTTGTTCTCTGGTGGCTTTCCATGTCTCTTCCAAGAGTTAGAGCAAAAATAGCCACACCCAAACCTCTGTCCAAGAACAGAGAGATTGCAGTCTGCTCTTCACTGAGTCCTACAGGACACATAGTCTCCGCTTCTGTATGCACTGCTAAAAACCGCAGCCTCCCGTAGTTGTGTGCGCCCACAGCAACTCTCCCAGAGGTCGACCCCAGGGCCGGGGCATGTCTCTGCCCTTTGTGCTTATAAAACTGTGAGCACTACTGGGTTCGTGTGCATGTACCCACAGTTCCTGGATCCTGTTTGGGGGCTGCTCTAAAGCCTTTTCCCAGATGCTACTGCTCTGTGAGTTTGTGCCTGGTTCCCAGTGAGGGATGCTTTTGCGCAGGTGCCAGCTTATGGTGGCTCCCTCCCTCTTCTGTTTATCTTCCGATATCGTCCACAGATTCACAACTCCACCCTCCATACCTTGCAAACGGCAGAGATTTTCTGCTTGTAGAGATCCAGATATATATTTTTACATCTCAGGCTGATTTCATGGGTGTTCAGAATAGTTTGGTAGATATACAGCTAAATTCAGGGGACTGGTTGAAACAGGGTTCCCAACTCCTCCACCATCTTGCCTCTTCCACTCCATTCCAGGACTTTTTTTTTTTTAATTTATTTATTTTACACAGAGAGAGACAGCAAGAGAGGGAACACAAGCAGGGGGAGTGGGAGAGGGAGAAGCAGGCTTCCCACTGAGCATGGAGCCTGATGTGGGGCTCGATCCCAGGACCCTGGGACCATGACCTGAGCCGAAGGCAGACGCTTAATGACTGAGCCACCCAGGCGCCCCCATTCCAGGACTTTTAATGTATTTTTTTTTACTCAAAATTGAGACTCTAGAAACCACTTATATCCCACTTTTATTACTTATTATATCATATTTCCCTTTCCATTAACTAAAAAAAGTATAATATATAATATAATTCCTGTTTAATATTATTGTTTAGTAAACTTTGTTCCTTTAATTCCTACTGCTTAACTAATTTTCCTATATTTATAAAAATTCTAGCATTGTCTACTTTCAAATATATTCTGAAAATTAGTTACTTTGAATACAGTATACATGTGTACATGTGTGTACCTGTGTGTACGTGTGTGTGTACGTGTGTGTATGTATGTTGAGGAGAATACAGAAAAGGAAGAAAACAGACTTAATTTCCAGGTATTATTATTATTTTTTTTTTAAAGATTTTTATTTATTTATTTGACAGAGAAAGACACAGCGAGAGAGGGAACACAAGCAGGGGGAGTGGGAGAGGGAGAAGCAGGCTTCCCGCTGAGCAGGGAGCCCGATGCGGGGCTCGATCCCAGGACCCCGGGATCATGACCTGAGCTGAAGGCAGATGCTTAACCGACTGAGCCACCCAGGCGCCCCCAGGTATTATTTTTATAATTAAATCTTATTATGAACACAGGCTTTTCTTTTTTTTTTAAATATAAAAACATTTGTTAACTAGTGTGCATTTAAACAAAGCCTCTAAACTACAACACAATTATTTTACAAGTAAAACAATAGTCCCATGGCATGGCTCATGAAAAGATTTATGACAACTTCATTTTATGAGTCACATTGAGACTAAGTTACCTCAAAGCAATCTGTGTGTATGTGTGTGTGTTTAATACTTGAATTGTGAACAAAGTCCTGGGGTGCAAAATCCTTTGGCTTTTTGAAAAACTGGATAAATATCCCATTCATGCACCCCCTTACTGGGGACCACTTATATATCCTCTGTAAGTCAAGAGCTAAGAATTTTGCCTCCACAGATTTTCTCTATTTTGATTCTTTATTTTACAGAGTTACTGTAAAGATATTTTAGCAAGTTTGGTTTTTTGTTTGTTTTGTTTTTGTTTTCCAAATGTTTCTATAAGGGAAACGGCCTGAAGTTTCCTAATCTGCCAAAGTGATGTCAGTCTTAATCTCTTTATTTACTAAGAGGTAGTCATAATAATTTTATTCTACAATTTGTAAATTCCTTCATCAGAAATATTATATCCGGAGGGTTTTGTACTCAAAACCAGACTTCTCTAAATGTACCTTTCAGAGGGCACAGACATCTCAGGCAATTTTTTTTTTTTTTTTTTTTTTTTTTTAGTAAATAAAAGCTTTGGCTTTAAAAATTGTACTATTAGGCCACTGCATATTAAGTTTGAGCATTTGCCATTCTGCTGACACCCCAAGCACTCATCTCTGTCAGAAAAGCTCTAATCCATGAAGATATACTCTTGAGTAGGATGTGGTGGTTTGTGGGAAGGAGACTAAGAGGTAGATTGTCAAATTACAGTATTTCATCTCTGTCCAACCTGAGACAAGATCATATGACACAATTTCTGTCTGACACTGGTTAACATAAGCAGGAAAAGTACTTTTCTTTTCAAAGTTCCTTACATCTGGGTTTCATTACAAACTGGCTGTATCTTTTCAGCATGTTCATTTTAAGAGCTCCAAAGTTTTTTCTTCCCCAGTAAAACAATAGCATTTCCAAATAAGTTAATTCCACAGAAGATTCCTAATAAGCCTCTGCAAATGTCGTGATTAAAGAAATCTGGCCTAGGGACACAAAGTGTTCTTATTTTTGTGGCTGAATAAGAAATTTCTAATGGCTGCACACACCTTTGAAAGAGCTGAGACATTTCATAAGAGGCATATGTGATGTAGCCCATTGTCGAAATCCTGCACTCGCCATCCTGTTAGAGTCCTTTTGGAAGATTAGAGACTTGGCCTAGTGCTTAGTTAGCTTGCCCTCTATCATATGGAATTTTCCAAGCCCCTTCTTGGTATTTTGTTCCCTCTGAAATTGATTAGCACTACACCAGAGGTAGTTAAAAAAGTTCAATTCCGGGGCGCCTGGGTGGCTCAGTCAGTTAAGCATCTGCCTTCGGCTCAAGTCATGATCCCAGCGTCCTGGGATTGAGCCCCACATCAGGCTTCCTGAGCAGGGAGTCTGCTTCTCCCTCTCCCTCTCCCTCTGCCCGCCTGCCTGCCTACTTGTGATCTCTCTCTCTGTCAAATAAATAAATAAAATCTTAAAAAAAAGTTCAATTCCCACAATTCAGTGTTATTTTAGGAGATGCTACATTGGTAATTCTGACAACAATCATTTCTCAGATGACCTCTAAGAACAAATTTTTAAAAGATGAACTTGAACTGATCAGTAAACACACGACATGTAGGTGCAAAATAACATTAGCTTTATATCAGGTACATTCAATACTAGAGGTCATTTTTTAAAAAACACTGGAAAACCCATGCTAATGCTTTTATTGATAGAATGATTTATAGTAGTAGTAAAACAGGGACTTGTAGTTTTTTGGTTTTTTCATTTTTGTTTTTCTTTTTTGGTGGTGGGAAGGGAGTTGTAGCTTTTATTTAACATCTTCACAGGCATTTCCAAAACCAAAATTCTCTATTAATTCTTTGTCCCAAAGGTTAGTAAAGGAGTTCTAAAGAAATTGTCTGCCAACTGCCTTAACATGTTAGATGTAAGTTCTGGAATCTCAACCATGTCTTGTATGATAGAGATCTGTCCATGTGAAGTTTTGTATTACTCAAGGACTGAACCTTATAAAACAGTGTTTGAGGAAATAGTTGTATGTTATAATTAATTAATTTTAGAAAAAGTGTGGAGTCAATTCTAGTTACAACTACTTCATAAGACGTTTTGAAACAAGAGGTCAAGTGTTCCGTCATTATCCTCCAAATCTCAGATCCTTCTCTCATTTGTGCCGTTCTTACTGTGCTTGATTCTCCATTTTATCTTCCTGCTCATGGAGTTCACTCTGCAGGGCCACTGGAGTTTCCCGACTGGCCTGCATGCCTTTCATCTTGGCTAGAAGAAAAGTCTCTTTACTTTCCTGGGGAAACAAATCATGATACTAGTCATAAATACAGCTGAAGTTCAAGGTAGATTTTCTTTTCAAATGACCTCAACTGTCTACCTCAAAGCATCTGCCAGATTTAATAATTTCTTTCCCAAGCTGGTGCCAGAACCAGGTTTCTAAAGTGAATATGTAAGCACCGACATAACCAATACTAGTATTGGCTAAGCATATTATGCAAATCAAGGTGAAGGTGTGTGGAATTCACTGGAAGCAGCTCAAGAGAAAGGGGAGCAACCCAGCACAGCTACCTTTGACTAGAACCTTCGTATCTGGCCAACACTGCCTGTTAGAACACCGTGAGGTAATGTCTCCATGGTTACAAAGTTCCAGTCTCTGAGCAATTATGTTGATGCTGCACCTGCTTTGTAGTTTGCAGACATTAAATAGGGTAACTTGCTTTTAGGAGAGCCATATCTTTCACCAAATTTTGCCACCAAAATATTCAATACCTATTTTGGATTTATGAGGGTCAAAGCTAGTATGTAAATATTTGGAGCATTAGTCAATGTTTTTAATTGTTTTTTGATTTTTGTTTGTTTTGTTTTGACAAATGCTCTTTGAACACATGGAAATGGCCAAGCAGCAAGAACAGAAAACTTGTGTACTTTTCAGGCAGAAAGAAACCTATTAGTAGAAGTAGTGAAATCAAAGCCAGCAGATTTACATTCCTCTACTATTTATGCCAGCAGTATGATTTAGAAGAAATCACTTAGTTCAGATTCTAACCTTGAGTAAAAGATTCACACAATGTTTTATGATAATGATGGTATAAGAATAAAATTAATACTGGGGCGCCTGGGTGGCTCAGTTGGTTAAGCGACTGCCTTCGGCTCAGGTCATGATCCTGGAGTCCTGGGATCGAGTCCCGCATTGGGCTCCCTGCTCAGCAGGGAGTCTGCTTCTCCCTCTGACCCTGCCCCCTCTCATGTGCTCACTCTCTCTCTCATTCTCTCTCTCAAATAAATAAATAAAATCTTTAAAAAAAAAGAATAAAATTATATTATTATTATTACTATACACAGTAATAAGATATATTAGCAATGATGATTATTGGATGAGTAATTTCGTTCAATAAATATTTAAATAAGCATCAATTCTGTACCAGGAACCAGACAGGTTCTATGAATTAACAGTTCCTGCTTCAAGGAGTAACGATAAAGTATCTTTCAATCTAGATTAGAAAATGGTTTCCATCATGGAATGATAAGCATTATTTAAATACAATGGACAATGAAAAAAATAACTGTTTTAATAAGTCAAAAGAAAAAGATTTCTTGGGGACCCTGTGAAATAGTGGTATAGGAGGATCCTAACCTCATCTTGTCACACAGATACTCCTAGATAACAGCCACATCAGTGTAATTAACCCAGAAAATGATCTGAAGACTGGCATAACAGACTCTCTACAGTTAGAGAAAGGAGGCCACATCAGAAAATGATGGAAAGGACGGAGCCCCAGTTGGGAACAAACCTAACCTGTGAGACTAACCACAAAGACTGGAGGGACACCACAAGCACAGAAGAGGGAGAGGAAGAGATCCTACACCAGGCACCCCAGACATGTAGGACCTACACTGGGAAGATGAGTCCCCAATAACATTTTGCTTTAAAAATTAGAGATGCTTAACTTTGTGAGTATTTACAATCACTGGGGTTTAACACTGGGAACTTTTTAAAAATCAGTGGGATCAGCTCTAGGAGGGCCGGAGGGTGATAGGAAATAGTCCCCACCCTTAAAGAGACAGCACAAAAATAACCCTGCCAAGATACAGCATACAAGCAGCAGTTTGAAAAGTGGAGATTTATTTACTAATCTCAGAACATGAGCTAGAGGGGCAGAAATCTTTAAGAAATTTTTCAAAGAACAAAAGAGCTGGTGGGCACCATTCTCCCCATTTATCCCCAGCCTAGATACCCAGACATCTGTGGGGAAACAGCATCAACACTTGCTACTTAGCCCAGGTTTCATCTTGCAAGCAGATGGGCACTTACCTTGCTAACACCTGTGTGCTCTACCCCCCACATTCCCCTGAAGACTGTTCCATTCAACCTGCCTCAATCCTTCCAAAGCTATGCCTGATGCATTTCATTCTGCAAGCAGCCCTGACAGTGGCCAGCACGACTCCAAAGTGACTCTTGCTCTGGTGAGAGGGGAAGATAATCACAAACACAAGTTCCACTGAAGCCCCAGAAGTGGGCTGGGGGAAAACATCTGATGTGACTGCTGGCTCTGCCTACCAACAAAAACCTCACAGGGGGCAGCACAAAGAAAGAGCTCTGTAATTGGGGGGTGGGGGTGGTCACTACAACCCAAAAAGACAGACTGGGGGCAGACCTCTGGCCTGATAGTAGGTCTCATTCTCAAAAAAAAAAAAAAAAAAAAAGCCACTCAGGAGACAATGCAAGTAGGTGTGTCCACAGTTCTGGCAAACACGCTGAGGGCAAGCATCTGGTCTGACCCAACTACAGGCCCAAAGTCACCCCAGACTGGCCCCATAATAGCAGAGATGCCAAACCCTGCCCCCAAGAAAGATGGCTGTGCAGCTGACTGGACTGAAGGCAAATGTGGCTCAACCACAATGGTAGTGTGCATGCAACAAACATAGGAGACATCTCTGAAGTGCCAGGTTCTGGTGAACAAGGGACATTGCACTATGGGGCACAACAGGATCTCTTCTTCATAAGTCCACTACTTTTAAGAGCAGGAAATGTAGGTGACATACTGAATACATAGACACAGAGAATTAGATCAAATGAGACAGAGGAATATATCCCAAAGGAAAGATCAGGACAAAATCACAACAAAATGATTTGGAAATGAGCATTATGCCTCATAAAGAATTCAAAGTAATAGTCATAAAGATACTAATTGGATGTGAGAAAAGACTGGAGGATCTCAGTGAGACCTTCAACAAAGAGACAGAAAATATAAAAAAAGAACCAATCAATGATGTAGAACCTAACTGCTGAAATTAAAAATACACTGGAGGGAATCAGTAGTAGGTCAGATAAAGCAGAATAATGAATCAGTGAGCTGGAAGACAGAATAATGGAAAGCAAAGAAACTGAACAACAAAAAGATAAAAGTATAATAAAAAATGAGAATACGTCAAGGACAACATCAAACATAGTAACATTCACATTATAGGGATCCCAGAAAAAGAAAATAGAGAAAGGGAGGCAGAAAATTTATTTGAAGAAATGACAGCTGAAAACTTCCCTAATCTGGGGAAGGAAATAGACCTCCAGATCTAGGAGGCACAGAAAGCCCTCTCAACCCAGGGAAGTCCACACCGAGACACATAATATTCACAATGGCAAAAAGTAATGGCAAAGAAAGAATCTTAAAGGCAACAAAAGAAAGGAAAACAGTTACATACAAGGGAAACCCCATAAAGCTACCTGCTGATTTTTCAGCAGAAATTTTGTAAGCCAGAGGTGTGGCATGACATATTCAAAGTGCTAAAAGGAAAAAGCTTGCAACCAAAAATACTCTATCCCACAATGCTATCATTCAGAATAGAAGGAGAAAGAAAAGTTTCTTAGACAAACAAAATTTAAAGGAGTTCATCACCACTAAATCAGCCAAATAAGAAAGGTTAAACGGAATTCTTTGAGTGGAAAGAAATAGCCAAGTGGAAAGAATAAGAAAATTATAAAAGGAAAAAATTTCACAGGTACGTGCGAACATAATAGAAGTAGTAGATTAGTTACTTATAAAGCCAGTATAGTTAAACCACAAAAACAGTAAAGTCATATCTATAAAAATGAGTCAAGGGCTAAACAAAATAAAAGGATGTAAAGT